GAGTTTGAGGTTGCTGTGAGCTGTGACACCATAGCACTCTACTGAGGGTGATACAGTGAGATTCTGTCTCAAAAAAATAATAATTAACTGATTAATTAAAAAAAATAAAATTCAAGCCCTTATGGCAGCTCAGCTGATCCTGTCCTGTGGCCTCCCTTACCAACTTCTCAGTGTTTGGGTGGTCAGAATGGAGTCACAAAGTCTGAGATCCCGAATCTGGCAGAATCCTCCAAGGCCAACTGACATGGAAGATTTCAGGGCTCCTCACAGAGAGGTACTTATCATTAGCAAAGTTTTTACTATAGAATAAGAAAAATACTTTGGATATTTTAAAAAGACACACTTATTTGATATTAAGTTACATCTTCCATGCTATTATGTCTACCTTTATAAGTAGCTCCTTCTTAATTCAATGAGGTGATGATGATTAATAGAATTTATAAATATCCTTAATTGGTAAAAACAAAATGTTAGCAATCCTATGTTGATATCTCCAGCTTTTTTTTTCTTTGCAAATGCACTGGTTTGCAAAATTCTTGAGAACCACTTTTTTTTCTTTTTCTTTTTTTTTTGAGACAGTCTCACTATGTCACCCAGGGTAGAGTGCTGTGGCATCACAGCTCACAGCAACCTCAAACTCTTGGGTTTAAGTGATTCTCTTGCCTCAGTCTCCCAAGTAGCTGGGACTGCAGGTGTCTGCCACTACACCTGGCTTTTTTTTGTTGCAGTTGTCATTGTTGTTTAGCTGGCCCTGGGCCAGGTTTGAACCTGCCAGCCTGGGTATATGTGGCCAGGGCTGTAACCACTGTGCTATGGGTGCCAAGCTGAGAACAATAGCAGGAGCTTTCTTACCCCTTAAAAAGCAGAGCTGGAGCTACAGTGCAGGATGTGAGACACTCATCTTGGGCACAGAATGCAAGGGACTGCCAAAAAACTCAGTGATGCCAGGCATGGTGGCTCATAACTATAATCCTAGCATTCTGGGAGGCTGAGGTAGGTGGACTGCCTTAGCTCATCAACCTGAGCAAGAGTGAGATCCCATCTCTAAAAAATAGCTAGGTGTTGTGGCAAGTGCCTGTAGTCCCTGCTACTCAGGAGGCTGAGACAAGTGAATCACTTGAGCCCAGGAGTTTGAGGTTGCTGTGAGCTATGATGCCTCAACATTCTACCCATTGACGCAAAGTGAAACTGTTTCAAAAAAGCAAAACAAACAAACAAAATTCAGTCAGCAAGGTGACTGATATTTTAATGTATATAGTTTTAAAATGTTTATGCAAAAAAACCATGATGAACAGAAATGCAAAACTTTACATAAAAACAAGATCAGTGCTAGTGATTTTTCCCTTTGCCTCAGATTCCAATATGACAGGGCACTGCTTGCAAGGACTACTTCTAAGTCTTACTCATGACAGAAAAAGGCAATTCTCAGTCTAAGATGTTCTGGGAGGCCAGGCATGGTAGCTCACACCTGTAATCCCAGCACTTTGGGTAACTGAGGCAGGTGGGTCACCTGAGCTCAGGAGTTTGAGACCAGTCTGAGCAAGAGTGAGACCCCCTTTCTACCAAAAACAGAAAAAATAGTCAGATGTTGTGGTGGTCACTTATAATCCCAGCAACTTGGGATAATGAGGCAAGAGGATCACTGGAACCCAGGAGTTTAACATTACTGTGAGCTATGATGACACTGTGGCACTCTACCCAGTGACAGAATGAGACTCTCAAAAAAAAAAAAAAGAATGCTCTGGGGAAGACACTGCCACGGCCTCTGCAGGTGTTCACTTTGGAGGCCTTGAGTCTGATGTCAGCCCATTCTCTGTGGCTTGAACTTGAGCCCTCTTCTGTCGTCCCCAGTGGAGACATCCACCCCATTCTCCCAAACACCAATTGTCCTTCAGGGGCTGAAGGGCAGTTATGTAAGCCCCCCGCCCCCACTCGTCCCCATACTCACTCCTCTCCCTCTGCAGCCAGCGCTGCATGTTTATTTTTCTTTTCTGAATTCTTAGGAAAGCAAGCAAGCAGAGACCAAGACAGATGCCAAGAATGGAGAGGAAAGGGGCAAAGATGCCAGCAAAAAATCCCTGGGCCCCAGACGGGACTCAGACCTGGGGAAGGAGCCAAAGAGGGGTGGTTTGAAGAAAAGCTTCTCCAGAGACAGAGATGAAGCTGATGGCAGAGGTGGCCAGAAGTCCAAGGAGGAGAAGACCATCAGGGGCATCGACAAGGGCCGGGTGAGGGCTGCAGTGGATAAGAAGGAGGCCGGGAAGGATGGGAGGGGGGAAGAGAAGACAGCCGCCACCAGGAAGGAGGAGGAGAAGAAAGCGAGTGACAGGAGCACGGGTTTGAGCAGAGACAAGGATAAAAAGAGAGAGGAGATGAAAGAGGTGGGCAAGAAAGAGGATGGTGAGAAGGTAAAGGGGGATAGTAAGAACACAGACATCAGAAAAGAGGATGAGAAGATGAAAAGAGCAAGCGGGAACACCGACATGAAGAGACAAGATGACAAGGTGAAGAGAGAAGCTGGGAACACAGACACAAAAAAGGAGGACAAAAAAGTCAAGAAGGATGAGTCCCTAAATGAAAAGGCAGCCAAGGATGAGGGCAAGACCAAAACACCAGAAAAAGCAGCCCCTAGTGGCCCCCCCACACCCTCTGAAGGACCTGCCAAGGTGGACGAGGAAGCAGCTCCCAGCATATTTGATGAGCCCCTGGAGAGAGTGAAGAACAACGACCCAGAGATGACTGAGGTGAATGTCAACAACTCAGACTGTATCACAAACGAGATCTTGGTCCGGTTTGCTGAGGCTCTGGAGTTCAATACTGTGGTCAAGGTGTTTGCCTTGGCCAACACGCGAGCTGATGATCATGTGGCCTTTGCCATCGCCATCATGCTCAAGGCCAACAAGACCATCACCAGCCTCAACCTGGACTCCAACCACATCACAGGCAAAGGCATCCTGGCCATCTTCCGGGCCCTCCTCCAGAACAACACGCTGACCGAGCTCCGCTTCCATAACCAGCGACACATTTGCGGTGGCAAGACGGAGATGGAGATTGCCAAGCTGCTCAAGGAGAACACCACCCTGCTCAAGCTGGGCTACCATTTTGAGCTGGCTGGGCCCCGAATGACGGTCACCAACCTGCTCAGCCGCAATATGGACAAACAGAGACAGAAGCGGCTGCAGGAGCAGAGGCAAGCACAGGAAGCCAGCGGGGAAAAGAAGGATCTGCTGGCGGTGCCCAAGGTTGGGGCCCTGGCCAAGGGCTCCCCCAAGCCTTCACCCCAACCATCTCCAAAGCCCTCTCCAAAGAACTCGCCCAAGAAAGGGGGTACTCCTGCTGCCCCACCCCCGCCGCCTCCGCCCTTGGCTCCGCCCCTTATCATGGAGAACCTGAAGAACTCACTGTCACCAGCTACCCAGAGGAAGATGGGAGACAAAGTCCTTCCTGCCCAGGAGAAGAATTCTCGTGACCAGCTGTTGGCCGCCATCCGCTCGAGCAACCTCAAGCAGCTCAAGAAGTTAAGTAGCTGTGGGCAGGAGCAAATAGGGGAGGGGCTGGGCAGGGAGCCTGGGGCAAAGGGTGGGTCTGCAAAGGGAAAACCTGCAGGGCACTCACATCAGGCTGCAGGCCATATACAGAATCTCAGGGGCCATAGGGGACTGCAGGTCACCTCATCCAACCTCCTGCCTTCAGGGAGGCCACATCTATACTCCTGTAGGGGTGAGGCTCCAACTACCTTTAGGATCTTCCTGTAACCTCTCACTTCACCCTTCTGACTCCTCCATTCTGCATTTAAACCTATTTCGCCCTGAGATGGAGAAACAACTTCTACAAATGCTATTTGTTTTACTTGATCCCTTTTGGGACCAGCCGAGTCTTATAGATCAGACTATCTGAAAGGTCTTTGAGAGAATCACCCCTCAAGAGAGGCTACTTTTGACTATGCAGTGCCATGGACACATGAGCTACCCTGGACACCCTACTTCTCAAAGCCCTGCCTCCCTGGAAGTCCTGCCTGGGTGGCCAACTCTATGATATTTGCCCATCTGATGGGATACTCAACCCCCACACTACCATTTGGGACTATACACCATAAGATAAAGGACCTCCTCAATTGCAGTTCCAGTGGTCATTTGATGACATCCAGTTTTTACCGAAAAGGAAAAATGCTCCTTTTGTGTCAACACCTCACTTATTCATTCCACATATAGTTGGTGTGGTGTCCTTCCAGAAGGGAGGCAGGTGGGGTGAATTCCAGAGGCCCCTGGCTAAGCTCCCTTCTTTAACCTGTCTCTGCTTTGCCCCTACAGGTGGAAGTACCCAAACTGCTTCAGTAGGCCCAGGCTGCCAGGCACTGTCTGCCAATGCCATGGCTGCCCAGGCCTTAACCTCCAAGGGCTGCACAGACCTGCCCACCCCGCCCCTGGCTGACCTGCTGTGGATGTCTCTATTCTGCCATGGAATAGCCTGAGGCCTGGGCCACGCTCAAGGAAGGATGCCTTCTCTCTTCTCACTTTCCTTTTCTTGTGTCTGAGGCTCTCCAAAAATGTCATTTATACCTGGAGCTGAGGTTTCTGGACAAGAAAAGTCCTTTTAGCACATTGCTGAGAAGATGGCACTATTCAGGGCCCATGTAGCTGGCAAGCAGCAAAAGGCCTATGATCCAGGAAAGATGTCCCACAGGGACCATATAACACCCCAGCCCCACTGACCTCCAGGGCCAGGATTCAGGCCGCTGAGGAGCCCATGGGGCAAAGCTGCTGGGCCAGTGGCACTCTGTGTGGGGCATTGGCAGAAGGATGAAGAAGGCATGGGGGCCTAGGAGAGAGCAGGGAGGGGCTGAGGACACCCCAAATCCCTCCCTAATCAGACATAGCAGGGGCAGCTGGCCTGGATGGACAGTGCCTGGTGGGGAGTTGGCTGCAGACAGGAGGAGAGGGACAGACAGCAGCTGGACCTGAAGGTTTGATGCCAAAGCAGACATTTTCCTCACACCCACCTGCTGTTTTATAAATAGCTGTGTATCTGTTTTTCCATAAGATTTTGATAATATATATAAACCTTTAGCTGTGAATGGCTGTGCTCCACCTCTGTACTGTACCGAGAGGGTCCTATATGGCTTCCAGGATGACACTAGAAGCTCAAGTTCCCTGTCATGTCATCCAAGCTGATCACGAAATAAGTTCATATCCACAGAAAGTATAGCATGGGGAAAGCCTAAACTCTGAGTGGAAGATGCCCCACTAATCTGGCTGGCCAGGTCTGGGATGCCAGGGAGGCCCGGAGGCCAGGCCTATACCCGGTCTGCTCCTGAACCAGTCCTGCTGCCTGCACTAAGTAGCCAGAGCTGCTCTCAAGGGTGATGGGGTAGAGTGGAACACAGGGCCGTGAGATGGCTATATTAGGCATGTTCAGGAGATGCTCATTCCATGACTCTTCCTAACTGTGGGCTCAGGGCCAGCTCCTCACAGCAGTCACAGGCCCAGAAGGGAGTAGGCAGAGAAGTGGAGTGACTATTTGGGGAGTAGCACCCACACCAGTATGCCTTAGGGCCCAGAGGTGCCTAAACATCCCCAGTTGCCTCTCCCACACTCACCAATTCCACTTTCCCAACCAGGTGCAGGCTGCCCTTCTTGCCTGACAGTGCTGCCATACCCGCCCTCAGGTGTACAGCAAAGGCATCTTTCTGACTTCTACTGGCTTGCAGATGCTGGCACCCACTGGCACCGCGAAACTGCCACCTTGGGTCTGGATCACTTGTGGGTTTTTCTGCCTCCACGTTTTGCCTCAAGAGCAGGGAATATAGCAGTCACCATCTTTGGGGTAAAGGTGAGGTACCCCCTTCTAGGGAGCATGATCTCTGTGCTAGGTCTGGCCAAAATCAGAGAGCAGGCCAGTCCTGGGGCAAAGAACTCAGCTCCCAGGTATACTATCCACCTTTACCTCCACCCATTGCCTACCACCCCAATACCCTAAGCAATAGTGGGGCTCAGGAGAGAGAAAACAGGCACTTGCTGGCTCCTGGACCTCAGATGGTGTCAGCTGGAGCTTAGCTCAGCTAGAGGTCCTATTTTTGCTGTGCCTGTTGGGTGGTGAGCACTAGCTAGATGCCTTAGGTTACTTCAGCTGATCTTCAACTCTGTGAGGTGAATACCAATATTCTTTCCATTTTGAGTTTAGCCCAGTCAGGTTAACTAACACATGCATGGTCACGCAGCTAATAAAAGGCAGAGCTCAGGTCTTAAGCCCATAGAACTGCTTCTGATAATGGCTCCCCCAACTCCCCTTAGGGAAATGATACTGATGATGATGCCCCAGGGAGGCACTAGAAGCCTAACCTTGGAAACAAACTTAAGACTACAGTAGAACCTGTTGCCTTAGGAAGTCTTTTCTACCAAACTTAAAGCAACGATTTTAACCGGGGTGGGGTTAAGGGTGGGGAGACCTCAGTCTACTGTCTCAGAGCGCGCGTTCAGCGCTGCTGGAGGATACAGCCCAATTCAAGATGATGTCATTATTCCTCTGGTGCACTTGAGCCTGACGCGGGAGCGCAGCGCCACCTGGTGGACAGACCGCGATCCAGGTTCTCCGCTGCTCCCGGGGCTGCGTAAAGGTAAAGGTGGGTAAAGGTGGCCGCGCGGGTGAGCTGGAGAAGAGGGGCAGATGGATCTGAGCGCTGGCCCCACCCCACGGGGCTATCTAGAGAGGAAACACCACCCCTCAGCCTTGATGGAGCAGAGAAGAACGCTAGGAACGCTGCGGACGATGTGCTCAGCGATCTGCCGAGCTGCAGAAAAGGGACTCAAACTGGCTGCGGCGTTTCTGCTGGGCCATGCACCTGCCGCCGCCCTCCCGCCCTCCACGCGCTGGCAGTTACGTGACTGCCTTCTCTTCCTAAAATCCCTGAACTGGAGGATATACCGGAAAGGATCTATCCTCCTCCAACACACTTTTTTTTTTTCTTTTTCTGTTTTTTTTGTTTTTGAGACGGAGTCTCAAGCTGTCACCCTGGGTAGGGTGTCATAGCGTCACACCACACAGCAACCTCATACTCTTGGGCTTAAGCGACTCTTTTGCCTCTGCCTCCCAAGTAGCTGGGACTACAGGCGCCCGCCACAACGCCTGGCTATTTTTTGATTGTAGTTGTCATTGTTGTTTGGCAGGCCCCGACTAGATTCGAACCCACCAGCGCTGGTGTATGTGGGTGCCCTATCAGCTTGAGGTACAGGCACCGAGCATAACACCCTTATTTTACAGGGAAGAAAGTAAGGTTCAGTGAAAACAAATTAACTTGTCCAAGTTGATGAGTCTGGACTCTAGCCTGGGTCTCTACTTCTGGGTTCATTCTACAGACATGGGCACAGTATCGGTCTGACCGGGTAGTCTTTGCCTGCAGCCCCACTGACCTTCCCTCTGCACCCACAGCTACCATCACTTCCTGAGGGATTGCATTTCTCATCTCCCACCCAGCAACCAAGTGCTGCTCACCTCCTGCTCTCCTGCTGTTGTCCCCTGGGGGCGGGGGTGTCCTGGCCTCTTGGCCCTTCCCAGCAGAAGTTCCTTCCCCTCTACCATCCCTTGGTCCTGAGGGAGACCTGAAGCTGGCTGTGAGCAGAGTAGTGGGCACCAAGGACTCTGGAAGCAACTGTAGCACTTGCTGTTGCAGAAGGAAGACCTGTGGGGAGCAAGGGGCTCCAGGCCCAGGGCGCTGTGAGTCCAGATCTCAGCCACTCACAGTAGCATTCCAAATGGGGGTGGGGGAGGGTCAAGGAAGTTTGTTTTCCTGCTGTCCCTCACCACCACCTCCTATTGTTATGCGACTTAAGAAATAGGAGATTTGGCTCGACACCTAAGGTGGTGGGTTCGAATCCAGCCCAGGCCCACCAAACAACAGTGACGGCTGCAACCAAAAAATAGCCAGGCGTTGTGGCGGGCGCCTGTGGTCCCAGCTACTTGGGAGGCTGAGGCAGTAGACTCACTTGAGCCCAGGAGCTGAAGCTCTGTCTCAAAAAAAAAAAAGAAAGAAAGAAAGAAATAGGAGATTTGGCCAAGGGTCACCTTTGAGCATGCTTCTAAACCCCCAGGTCAGCAGGGTCAAGCACTCCCCCTCCCCAACTTGAATGCTCAGGCTGACCTCTGAGGTTGCTGGTCAGGCTGCTGGCCAAGGAGTGCCCCAAAGGGTACAGCCCCCTTCAGTCACCCACCCCCATCTCAGTACCTTCTGCTCATCCTGCTCTCCCTGCCCATGGCCTCTGTACCTTCTCCCCATCTCTCTGTTCCCTCTTCCAGGCCTCTGGCCCTCCTTCCGTGATTTCACACCTCCCTTCTTTACAGAAGGGTCTGCTTTCCCAAGTGCTTCCCTTCTACTCTCCTCCTGCCCCCCACCCCAGGGTGTCTCCCCTTTCTTCTTTCTCCCCATCCCCATTGTACTTCCACGTATCCCTGCCCCAGCTCTCTCCCTCCCTGCACCTGACCCCTTCCTACTTACCCCCACCCCCACCTAGCAAGATTTCTGTGTAAAAATGCAGAACCTTTATATTATCAAGGTCCCTCAATCCCTGAGGGCCACTACCCTTCCCACCCATCTCTGCCTGCCCTCAAAGAGTGCCTTCAAGGGTGTTAGGCATGGAACAAGGCAATCAGGAGAAACACATACAGTTCTGTGCTCCTCCTGGCCCTGCTGGGCTCCCCTTGTTTCCCTGAAGATGAGCCAGCGAAGAGGAGTCAGAGGAGAGTGTTGTGCTTTGAGAGAGATGTAGAGAACTCCTGAGTATGTGAGAGAGGCCTCTTCTCTGCTTAAAGCATGTGAAAGTCCCACTTGTCATTGTCCCCCCCCCCTTTTTTAGAATTCAGTGCTTTGCAAAGTTAATTAACTAGAAATAGAGCAACTTCCCCCTTCCACTGTCAGCTATGACTGATGTAAACCTGGTCCCTACCCTAGATTACAAAGCAATTTTTCACTGGCCCCAGGTTGTTGATTCAAGGATAATTAATTCTGACTGGCATGGCTTTGCATACATTTACACATCATTTCTCAGGGAAACACAGCAATCTGAACCAGCAAATCTCCTCTACCTCCCAGGTTGAAGAGAGAGAAGAGACTGAACTCCAAACCTCAGAGATCCTCTCTCCTAAAATGTGAAGCCAAGACACTCTAGGGGCCTCAGTTCCTACTTCTTTTTTTTTTTTTTTTTTTTTTTTTTTTTTCCGTTTTTGGCCAGGGCTGGATTTAAACCCCCCACCTCCAGCATATGGGGCTAGCGCCCACTCCTCTGAGCCACAGGTGCCACCCCTAGTTCCCACTTCTTGTCTCCACCCTCAAAAGAAAGCAGATCTGCTATTGTGGCCCCAGCCCTGTCCCCACCAGTAGCAGCCATCCCTCCTTATATGGGTCAGATCCAGGGGCAGACTTATGGGCGCCTGGCAGATTTCACTGAGAGGGGGGAAATGTGAATCTGGGGACAGAATTTT